TTCCCATTCTTACGATTGTTTGTTTTACAACTTCTACTAATGTAGTTTACTTATGGTGATTACCATCACTACTGTGATTATTGTTGCTGTTAGACGTCTTATTGCTAGTGTTGCTAGCCTCACCAGTATTCCTGGTTACTAGTCTTACATGTCATACTGGTAATAAAGGTAAAGTACTAGCAGCAGCAAACATGGGCAATTCGAAGTGCAACTAAGACCTCGTAGTATTCTTGTCGTAAGGTTCACCATTATCACCGTCAAGTTCGTTTTCATGTTCAAACACCGTGATAAGCCCGCAAACCCACCACCTTTCCACCATGGCAGAAACCCTGCGTCAAACCTAAGGAAAACTGGGCCGCTACAGAGAACACGCTGCGGCGGCACGGAGAGACAAGGCTTTGACGGGGCGGTGAGGTGTTGATATGGCTATATACGGCTTTATGTAGGTTTGGGGGTGAGGGGTTGTTAAAAAGACCTGCTGAAGGAGGGCGAATTGGGGGTGTGCACTTCAACCTACCTTATATGGCCGGTTTGGGGGCAAGCATGTTACATGATTGCCAGTCTCCAGAGTAAGGTCTCCCATGCCGATGGCTATGTATTGCTGCATGCTGCTGCTAAGTCACCTTTCGCTCTGTGATGGTCGCAAGAAGTGCTGGGTCGATGTGGGGGCGAAGCAGGAACTCCGGTGCCTTGTGTCACAGGAGGACCATGCGCTGCCGGGTGTCCGGCGCTTGCGGCGGCCAAGGGATCCTTGGTGGCCTGTTAGGGTCGTAGGCTAATGGTAGGCACCACTCCAGCACCCTTGCAGCTAACCTGGCTCATTGGCGGGCCAGAGCAGTCCAGAGTGTTGCATGTCGCTCACGCTTCAATCCTCTCCTGCTCACTTCCATCTGCAGAAACTGCAACAACAACGGTGGTGTCAGTTGTGATTCTCTTCCACACCACTCCCTAGGTAGTAGATGAGAACGACAGCATCTCCAGCGACACTGACACAGACCTGCAGCAGCCTCTGGTTGTCAAGGAGACTTCAGGTCTCCCTTGTTGGAGGATCAGAGGGTTTACCCTAAACCCCGAACCCTAAACCCTAAACCCTAAGCCGTTTTAGGTCAGTGTAGGCATGGTGAGTCTGCAGAGTCAAGGTCCTCATGCAGACTCCTTGTGAGACCTTCCTGCGAGCGCGGGGGCCTTCAGAGCTTCAAGTCCTTACGTGGGAGTTTCCGACAACAAGGGGTACCGTATATTGGGGCCCTTATGATAAGGATCCTACTATTAAGGGTACTATATTATGGTCCCCTATTTTCGGAAACCCACAAGTAAGAACGGTGTATCGGTGTGGTCGTGGACAGATGATGTGTGGTCTTGTTTTTTTGTGTTGGGATATTTGTTATTGTTTGTGATTTCTCATGATTACTAATGTTGCTATGGTTATGGTGTTGTGAACGGTGCAAGCAAACTGGAAGGAGGAAGCGAAAGAAGAGCCCGCAGAGGAAGAGGTCCTTTCCTTTCTTTATCCTTGGCGGCTTCTCTTCATCCGAGTGTGTGGCTGCCGGCAAGAATTCCATATGGCTTCTGAGTGCAATACGCGAGTCAAGATCTGCTTGCTTCTGTGGCAAGACTAGAAGACACTTTTGCAAAGTGACGTGGCATTCCATCTCCAAGCTGACGCATTCATGAAGTAGATGGTTATGGCAAGATCAGGCGCCAAATAATTATAGGCTTATTTCAATGATAAGAAGAATATGACGTGTAAGAAGAAGACCGCGAAGAGCACAAGAAAGAACAATAAAGCCAACTGCAAGAACACACGAACAACAGTACGAATAACAGCGAGAATATGTATAGTGAGAGAAGTCACAGTCGTAAGAGTATTAATGGTAGTACGACTAATAACAAGAACAAGGAGCAATATTAAGACTACTAAGCATAGCCATGAGACACAAAAACACCAACACACAAAGAATGCGTCGAATCAGGATAAGAAAGCACTGCCACTAGATATCGTAAACCACAGTCATCTTAATTGCCCTTGATGCTGGTAATGCTAGACTAGTAGTTTGAAGAGTGCTGAAACCCTAAACACTAAACCCTAAACCTTAAACCCTAAACTTTAAACCCAAAATCCTAAACCCTAAACCCATGGCCTTGCGAAGGTGCGCCCAAAGCCCGGCGCACGGGCTCGTGGCACGCGGCGATCACAAGCGGAGGAACCGCAGGGAAGCAAAGACTCTGAGAGGTTTTGGGCACTTTTGGGTGAAGGGTTCGAAGATTTTTGTGGTTTGGAGTATTGGTTTAACGAAGCCAGCCCACTGCAGAAAAGGGCTTCGGGTTTAGGGTTTACATTGCTCGTTTAGGGTTATTGCGCAGGCATGATATAGAACGATCGGTACACATTGGTCGTGTTGCTTGTTCATCGGCAGAGTAGATTCAGAGAGAAAGAGAGAGAAGGACCAGGAGACACATAGAGAGCGGGAGATAGACATGCTCTTCGTTACTTGTACATACGAGTCTATGAAGTTGCATGTGCAAATATGCAACCGCATAATCCGTGTAAGCTCGTTTGTATGCAGATGGGTTTGATGGTGGCAGTTGCATGAGAGCACATCTGTTTGTGTTTGTCCGCGTGTTCGTATGCTTGCATGTACGCGTGTCTTCATACTTGGAGTTATCCGCTGTGTTTCTGCCATCTACGTGTGTACTCGAACATTCACCAACGCTCGCCGCTCAATCCTTAAATCTACTTATGCGGTTACATCCATACTAAACCTACCTACAACCCAAAGCAGATAAAGGTGCACAGCTACACACGCATGTTATGCATGCTGTCGTATGCATGTCTGTGTAACTACGCGAAGTGTTCATCAGAACATACAATACACACCTGTTAGCAGGCATGCGCGGGCCCAAGCAAGCATGGAGTGCTCGTGTGTGTGTGTGTGTGTGAATGTGTGTGTGTGTGTGTGTTTGTGAATGCTGAAGCCGGCCTGCCAGATTTTGTAGGTCTACTCTTGTTCGTTTGTGATTGCAGTCGCAAGGCAGACAGATACAGTATCCCGCCGACTCGAACGAAAGAATGCCGATTGCCCGAATAGAGGCATGATCCAAGGACCAAGGACTCGTGTCTCGTCTGGTGCCCTGTCTATGTCCAGCTTCCTTCGAAAGTTGACCCCAGAGCGCCCAGGACCTCTCAGTTAAGATTACGATTACGCCTTATAATTCTGAATAGAATGAGATCCAGAATAAGGGGTCTGTGGCTGAGCGGGATTTTCATGGCATCAGCTCCAGAGGCTGCCAGGGCACGCAGGCGCCGACTGTGGCGGGTGGGGCGTGTGACCCGGCAGCGATGTGGGGCAAATCTTCACAAGGGGTGCTGAAGGGAGTGTCTCAGCCCTATACTGGCTGGGCAGGGGAGCGCAGCTCAGAGCCCTAAACCCTAAACCCTAAACCCTAAACCCTAAACTCTAAACTTTACTCTAAACCCTAAGCACTAACCCCTAAACCCTAAACCCTAAGCCCTAAACCGAGCCGGCTATTCCAGGCTTCGGGCTTTTCCCGGAAGTTCGTACAGTTGGGGCGGAGGAATTTCACGTGGCTCATGCAGCTCACTAACGGCGAGCGAGCGACACTACAAGAAGGAGGCGTCAGCGAGAACAACATCAACAGGATTGAAGAATTCCTTCATCAAGTAGATGACCAGCAAGTTGATGGTAGAGGACCGGAGGCCAGGTGGGCAGTGGCACGCCTTGTACATCGCCTCGAAGATGGTGTAGAAGCCTTGGGAGCCATGCTGGCCATCCTACAGCGTCGTCTTCAACCAAGAGGATATCTCCCGCTACAACGTATTCCCGGGGAAGAGGTGGCACGCATTCGCTGGTTCAACTGGGTGAGACAATTCACGTCTATCTTCACCCAAAACCTGGAGTATAGCATGGCTGCTCCCCTCCAACCGCAGGAGACCAGCCCTTCCGAGGGGATGATACTAGGATTCCAGGCACCTCCCCAGCAGTCGCCGGCCTCCTCGTCTGGTCAAAGGAGAGAGACCGAACGCAGTCGTAGTCCTGCTCGTCGCCCTGCTGCCAACAGCCCAGTGGATGATGACGAGGAAGACTCGGAAGAAGAAGGACCCGCTGAAGACGACCCGGTGACCCCAGACGATGCCGTGGACCCTTCGCAACTGCCTGGAATTTGGCGTGACCCACCGCTTGAAGATCTTTCCAGCGATGTGAGCCGCTTTGGAAGGACGACGTCACCCAGTATGCCGCCCACTGGCACCACATCCACGACGTCGACTACCTCATCGTCCTGCACTTCATCGAGGGGAACTTTGCCTACGACGCCTACTACCTCTTTGCCCTGCACCACGACCTGGACATCGCCCCCGGTGAGCTCCTGCTCTTCTTGTCACGGCTGCCCTTGGGGAACTTCTACGAGTGGGAGCCACAATCAGACTGTCCCACCTCTCGCCCCCACTTTTCAGGAACAAGCGTTGGACATTGCCCTCACACCTGATCAAGGGGATGAAGTTTCATGGATGCATCGCTTTGCCTGGATAGGGGTGACATCTACTTCGACGACCTCCAGCACGAGCTCCTTGGATACCCTTTGGCCAGCGGATGTGGTACGTGACGCAGTGGTAGCCGAAACCTCCGTGGCAGGCCAGGCAGATTTACATGACCTTCTTCGTCGACTACTCGATCGTCAGCGCGCACTTCGCCACTGCGACAGGCTCCTTGCAGAAGCCATTGAGGAAGTTCTGGGCCACATGCACGTCCCCAGACATGAACTTCCCTTCAATGCGGCCACAATGGATGCTAACCTGTGGAGAGTTATCGGGGCGGAGGTCAACAATGGACATGGGCCATCTATGACAGCAACGGTCATCCCTACAGGGCAACCGGCAGTTCTACTCCAGCCCGGTTTTCCGAGCAGTCTGCAGGCGATCCATGATGCACTTCCGGGATATGACGAACCAACCCTGGCCAACTTCCGTCGTCGAGCATGGCGTCTGCATGTGGACAGGCTGTTCAGAAGGGCTGGCAGGGAAACACCAGTCGGTAGATGGCCACCGGAAGCAGACCGCGACCTCTACTTGCTTCAAACGGATGGCGAGGTCCCGGTTCCCAACCATCCTTCAGGCTGTCTACCACCTCCACGTCCTTTCCTCTCCCGTCGCTACAACAGGGTGGGAGAACGTCGGCGAGGACAACGTCATCGAGGTGGCCATGGGATGTACTCGTCGGCGCAATCCACAGAGACGGGAGGAAGTACCGCGTTGCTGGCCACACCGAACGCCTTGTCAAGGACGAGCCCGCCTTCTTTGCCCTCCTCCGTCCCGATGGTTGCTATGGCGGCAGAGACCTGCTCCCCGCCTCCACGTGAGCGAAGCAGAAGTAGAGACGATGGAGAAGATGCTGCAGCAACCCACGACGCGGCTTTACATGCACACAATGAAACGGCAGAGGATGAACAAAGTGAGGATGCTGATGCGATATCTGAGAAAGCTGAGGAGGTTGACTAGTCTCTTGTTTTGTTTGGTACAGTGCACGCTCCTATGAGCGAGCTTTCTGACTTTCATGCGAGAGAAAGGGGGCTACTGCATTTAAAAAAAAAAACCAGAGAGCCCGGAGCCACGAGATGTCTGGGAAATTGTCATTGCCTCTCAGGTCCTCTCCCACCGTCGCCCCATGCCGATTGGCCGAAAATGCACGCCGATCGGCACGGCGTTTCGGAGGCGGCGCCGCAAGGAGACATGTGTCGTGGAGAAGGGCGGTACTTAAAGGATCATGGGACTTAGTAACTAGGGTTACAAATAAGGCAACTATAACTATAACCCCAATTAGGGTACTTATAACCTTACTTATACTAAGTCCCATGATCCTGCAATTATATTATTTTGGGGATTCCATATGCCCTATTCTAATTAATCAGGCCCCTACATTAGTTGCTGTGCCGAAGTGAAACCCCGAGGCCCCGGGGGCTCGGCAGGAACGTTGTAAGCGCGCTCGACGCTTCCCACTTGACTGTCTGGTGCTTAGTAGGGAATGGGGGAATGTTAGGGTTTGGGTTTAGGGTTTAGGGTTTTGGGTTTAGGGTTAATGGGTTGTAGGGACTACTATAAGGGACCTTAAGGGACTATCATAGGAATCCATTCCCCCATTCCCTACTGAGCACCAGAGAGTTGAATGTTAACTCAGGGGGTCCCTTGAGGGAAGCTTGCTCATGTTGGCAACACATGAAGCAGTTATTCTTCCGAAGCAATGATGAAGATGAGATGCACAAACACAGAACACACACACACACATGTAATTAGATATGCTTATATACGTGTGCGCACACACAAATACATATATATATATATATTTATGTATTGTATGTATGTATATATATATATATATTCATATACATATATATATATATATATAATGTATGGGTGTGTATGCTTTGTATGCAAATGCACATTGCATAGTGCAGTACTTGCAGTGCTTTCGATGTGCAACGTATACCCGATAATGGCTGACGAGTATAGCATGTAAATGCATATGCGCATAACTTAGATGTAACGGGTTGTAACTGCCTATATAGTCTCTGGAGGAGAAACGCAATATCTCCACCCGTCGCGAGATCCTCGCAAGATTCCTCGCCGCGAAGAAGTCGCAGATAAAGGCGCCATGTTAAGAGCTCAAAAGAAACACCGATCGATCTCAGCAAGGCTCTTTTAAGCGTGTACGTTCGTGGTGGGGCTAGGGAGTTATGGCTGTAAGTAGTGACCCTTTTTATCTGGAACCCCCGTAGCATGCAGCACCATACAGTAGCAGCTTCATTCTTATTGCCTTGTTTTTGAAACTGCTCTTTCTCGTTGCGAAGAAGAAGGTTTATTGTCAAAGCATTTTCCAATGTTGAGACCGTGACAGCTGTCTGCGTACGCTTAGATACTTTGCCTTGGCACAGTATGCTAAGTCTGTTTTTGTCAGTACATGGTCCAGGCTTGTTTAAACTATTCTCAATGTTGAGACCGCGGTTCAATCATAAACCAGGCTGAAAACTTCAATTATCGCTGGTCGTCACGGACGAGAAGCAACGAACGTTGCATAGCCTTGAATTTGCTGTTCTTTGAGTGCGAAATGCTTTTTGCAGTGTACGATTGGGTTGTGTGATCGAACAAGCATCGTCTTTTTTTCATTCTCTACTTTCGCGTCGTCACTTACAGAGATTTGCTGGACTCCAGTTACCCCCCCCAAGGTGGGATTGTCTCATACATCTATAAGGGTGACACGACGTACGACAAGCACTAATGGACAACTCCTTTGTTTTGTCTCTGATGGTTCAATGTCTGACTTTCTTACATATATATACCTAGGCTTGTCTAAGGAATTGCAGGCAAAAGTCGCTGCCTCTACAAGCCGTACTGATAAACAGTTCCAGTCTTGTTGGCATTGATTTTCTGTTTCTCTATCTCGTCTATGCCCCATGTGGCTTCAATGTAAGTATCGCAACTTTTTTCCACTGTCTATCTCAAAGCGTACAGTTTCTGGTTGCTAGTGAGGGGTAAAGAATGCCAGCAGTCCAACCAAGAGAAGAATGGCTGGATTTGTTGATGAAGGTTTTGAAGAATGAGCAAATTTCAAACACGACTATGGAGTGTCCAAGTCGAAAGCCAAGCGGGAAACACGACCATCGTGAGGAGTGTAAGACACGAATGATGTGGTTTTCGATTTCAGGAGCTGTAGGAGTGACTTCAGGATCTGAATTTGTGTGCGAGTTCTCAGAACGGCTGTTTATCAGCGAAAGTAGGTCCAAAAAGCTACCGCTGTAGTCGAGTATTTGCAAAGAAAGATGTTGAAGAGCTTGACAGGATTTACGACTTGCAGCAGATATGTGCATTTCTTTTCTGTGCTACATGCGATCTCAGAACTGTTTTCCTTGATGACTGGTCACTTGAGAAGACTATAGGGTTTCGGAAAACAAGGCGAAGTAAACGAGAACCCCAAAGAGTTTTCAACGCAGAATTGGAGATTGATCTCATCATATTCCAATCCCCTACTGTCAGTTCTGTGGGTGGGGGTCGGGGTTGCTGTGCGTCTTCTGTGGCTTGGGGTAGAGGTTGGAAGATGAGAAAACGGAATTGGCCTCGGACAACGCTTGTCGGGCTCCGTTGTGTTTTATAAAAGAATTCAATGCTCCTCTGATAAGGAATAGAAGCCTTGTGCGGTTCAAGCTAATGCGACTTCATTTTTCAGACCAAGGGCTATGGTCTGAGTTGGGTTTGTTTGCGAAGTGGCTGGTTTGGGATTTCCCGTGATTCGTAGCCTTGACTTCAGGTATTGGTACTGGGCTACAGGTGTTCGCAAGACGGCCCGTGCATCCATTGCCAGCTATCCTGAAGCGAGAGACTCTCAACCGTTTCATTGCGAAAGTCCTGCTAAGAGCCCCGGTCATATCAAATCAGCAAGCCGATGCACAAATGACATGCCTCATCCTCCTCTGCTCCTCCTCCTGCTCGCGACGAGGTGCCACAGGAACCGAGGTCGCATGAGGACCTCGGCCAAACCTGCCAGCTTGCCATCGTCACGGGCTTCAGAGGGAAGGTATCAAGCCAAAGCCTAACTCAAGCCCTTCTGTGGGAGCTTGAAATCAAGAGAGGACTGGGAAGAAGATCGACTCATGCGCGCGACTTGTCAGCAAACATGAAGCAGAACACAGCTCCTGCTTCTTCCAGCCATGCCGATGCTTCGATATCTGTGGTACCAGGATGGGGTTGAAAATTGCCAAGTTGATGTCAGACCGCTTGCGGAGTTTCAAGATCGTAGGGTCCCTTGTTAGGATTTCAGATCCCATTGTTTACGGTCCTAGCAGGGTCCCCGTTTCCTGAAGCTCGAGGATGCTGAACCTCAGCATTCTGCAGCAGCAAGGGCTCCCGTCATCAAGGGAGCGCGGGGTAAAATATTTATCGACATGTTTCAGAAAGTCGGAACGGTTTTGCCGCAAGCAGATGCCGGCAGTTGCGGACACTACGCATCACGTTGGCGGGGTAACGTCGCTGAAAGGTCGCGACCTTGTCAGAAGCTGAGGAGAAGCTGCAGCGCACGCCCTTGGTTTTATGCTGCCGCCACGTTGCACACTGTTCCGCGGCCTGTTGAACTGTTGGACACGAGCGAGAATCAAGGTAACTTTCCAGGTTTCATGCAGAGCCTGGGGTGGATCCGGGTGGATGATATGTTGTAGCGCGGTACTTCCCGAAGCACAGAAGCACAGCGGGGGTACTTAAGGGTTCCTCTAAAGGGCTTTATAATAACTTTATAAGGGATGCGATAAGGGTTATCATACTGTTGATGGACAAAATCCTGCATAACCCAAAACAAGTATAGTGCCATAAATCCCATAGTTTAGGTATATAAGGTCACGCAGGATTTTGTCCATCAACCGTAGTATCTCTGGTACAGGGTTTGTCTGTGAAGGCCTGGCTGGAGAGCCAAGCCCAGAGTCGGGCGCCAGTGGCGCGCCGCCGCTGAAACGCCAACGGCTGCTTGGTTGCGGCGACCTTAACCTACCAGAACCTACTTTTTTGTAGGGTCCCTATAAATCCCCTATTAGGGTTTATAATAAGAACCTACAAAAAAGTGGTTGCTTAGAGGATCGTGGGACTTGGTGACTAAGGTTATTGTTAGGATAACTACACTTATAAGTACTTATAACCCCAATTAGGGTGACTTGGTGACTAAGGTTATTCTTAGGATAACTAGACTTATAAGTACTTATAACCCCAATTAGGGTACTTATACCCATACTTACTAAGTCCCATGATCCTTCAAGTGCGGCTGGCTTGAGCACCGCATGCAAGCTTCTGTTCATAATGAGGAAGCCAAGTTTTTCTTCGCCTTCGCTACTTGTAGCTTGGTAACTTAGTTGAGCAAGGTTCCTTTGTGGAACCCAGCCTTTGTCTGTCTGGTGCTTAGCAGGGAATGGGGGAATGGGTTACAGGGACTATTATAAGGGACCTATAAGGGACTATCATAGGGATCCATTCCCACATTCCCTGCTAAGCACCAGACAGTTGTGTGCAGGGACGCCTTTGAAAGCCTCGTCCGGCTGTTGGTGCGGACAGCCAGGGCCCTCGCGGATGCCGTGGAGAAGGCACCGACAGAGAGCGCTGCTTAGGGGCTTGGCGGTTTTCTGTCTGGTGCTTAGTAGGGAATGCATCCCTATGATAGTCCCTTGTAGGTCCGTTATAATAGTCCCTGTAACCCATTCCCCCATTCCCTACTAAGCACCAGACAGAAAAGGTTTCTTTTGGATTCCCGCCAAAGGGTGGTCTGCTACAGGAAGCGCAGAGACTTCCGCCGGATATGCATTGAGCGATTGACTTGTCTCGTTTCGTTGCCTTTCGATTTGTTGCCTGAAAGCTTTGAGGCGTATCGGGCAACAATGAATAGATTCGAGTAGCTGCCATCATCGAAACTTGCTAGCACATCCCTGCATCGTCATTTCGCTCGTCTGCTTGTGGAGTTTACCGTCTAGCCGTCTAGCCTTGCAGCACAAGCAGGTGCCGTATTGTGGTACACTAGTCTTCAGAGTTGTGATTGCCTGTTTGCCTGCGTACCTCAGCAGATGCCGTGGAAATCCGCGGCTTCTAGCCTGCAATGCTTCGTTGTTTTGACTGGAAGACTGGAGCACATAACCTGGGTCATGAGTCACGAGTTGCCAATCCGATGGGCATCTGCAGGTGGAGCAATGCCACCATAGGCGCCAGAACAGCAACGCAGATGAATTTTTACTTTCCAGGTGTTGAGGGACGAAGCTCGGTACATGTGAGTTTTCACATGCGGCATATGCGGCCTGTTCTGTCGAAGTGGAATATGAAACCTACGCATTCGCGGGTCAGACCTGTCCATTGCTTCACTTGCTGGATCTTCAGTGCCTCAGCACCGATTCCATCAAGACTCAGGCATGGTACATCTGTCGGCTGCGCCTGGTCAGCCTCTTCCTTGCAGCGACGATGATGACGATGCGCCACGTGCTTCGGGCAGAAACAGGCTACATACGCTGCTTAGTCCATGGCCACAATGGGGACATAGAGCAGACTAGTGTGCCTCTATCGTCACAGCCTTAATCAATGAAGCTCCTTTGGCAAGAGACCAGATGTAGCAGTCACCGGAAGGTTCTGTTGCACAGGATATCTGTAGCTTCAACTTGGCCTAGGGGTGTAGGTGTTGAGGCGAGTGCAACCCCACTTGCTCGAAAGCTCTGTCTCATGCCGGTAGGGCATGGATGGGGAGGACTTACACCTACACAAGCCCTGCCTGAGGCATTCGAGTCGTCCACCATTTCACGCGGCTGAACGGGCACATTGACACGTCCGGGCTTTAGACTTTCGACTGAGACAAGTTCCCTGTCGTGTTTATGGGCAACAGCTCCGGCCCTGATTGCAGGGTGCGATCGAAGAAATATTCGGACCATGTTTCTCCCAAAGTTCCATGGGTCTCACACCTCGCACCTCGCACTTGGAACAAGGGAGTTGTAAGGGTGTAGCTGCTGTAGCTTGTTGATGTTAGCAAGCATTTCCTAAGTGCGGTGGGGCTTCCGGGACCATGGGTGGAGGACCAATGGCCCACTGTTTCACAGCTCGGTTGCAGAAGGTTAGCTCAAACAGAGGGCAACATGGAAGGCAGCAGACTGGTGTTGGAAGCAATGCCAGCCACACCTGTAGCTGCCATACCAAATGATCTTGGAAGGAACGGTTTTGCCCAAGGCCATGCAGGCTTCTGCCAGGCTCCGCCTGCATGTGACCCCGCGCCGTGCACGGATTCGCAGGTGGAGCTTGCCGACTTTCAGCGTGTCTACGACGTCAATGCCGGGCAGCTTCAGGGGAAAACCACAACTTCCAGCTTCGGGTCACGAAAACCTCTGGGGGCTGTGGGCTTCAACCAGATTCTGCAGTCAGCTGCAGCTGACCAGAGTGTAAGGTTCACCTCAGGTAGACAGCTGTGTCTAGCACGCGTCTCACAGCTTTCGTCGGTCGCCCTAAGGTTCAGAATATCGGTCGCGGTAGTATGCGGTATCCATGGCCGGTATTCAGATGGGTCGGCCTAGCATGGTGAGGCTGCAGCATCTAGTCCCGGAGATCAAACAAGCCCCTGTCACGTGTTCTCCGTCTTTTTACGAAACCTTCAGGTGAAGGCCATCTTCCTCTGCGCGAAGGCCGTCTTGTGGTGCTCTCAGAGAGACTCAGTCCGACAGAGCGATCCTGACATTTTAGCTTCTGAACCAACTCAGGCCGTCCATGCTGAAGTCCGGCTATGGCCGCATCGTGAACATTGCCTCCATTTCGGGCAAGGATTTCAGGGTTGCGTGGGTATGTGGCTCCGGGATTATGGGACTTGCCATGGGCTGATGAGGGCTTGATCATGTAGCTGGAGTGTCGGATAGCTTCAAAAGAGTGCTTCAAGTAGACCAAAACATAACGTCATCTCGTCCCCTCATGGACATGCCTGTACTGGATGCTGTGCCTCGTGCCTGTTAGTTCGGCAGCTGGTCGGTGTTGCTTGAACTGCGACCTGTTTGGAGCGAGTGGGACGCGGAGCAAGCAACAGGGAAAACAAGAGAGGGCCATCCTAAGACTGGAATTAAATTAGTATTGTCCCTTGTATTCGGGCATGTGCGATTCCGAGGCAATAAATACTGCCGGAAGCTGCTTTCCCGTTCCGTCCGTCAGGGTGTGCTCGTCGTCGATGAAGCAGACGTGCAAGCTGCCAAAGAAGTAAGAACCCGCTTTCCTACAGGGACGAAGGTCGACCCTAAACCCTAAACCCTAATCCCTAATCCCCCTAAACCCTAAACCTCACAGCCCCTTGAGCTCAGCTCCAGGACGGAAATGCCGGAATGTTGGCATACTCCTCTTCCAAGGCCAGGCGAACTTGAGCTTCAGAGCTTTGCATCCTCCGCCAAGCGAGAGCGGGACAAGTGGCAATAAGTCGCAAAGCCGCCTGAATGAGATTCCTGCAACACCCAAGCCACCATGTTGTAGAATACCCTCCCCCCAACCCTAAACCCTAAGCCCTAAACCCTAGAGACCTCGTCTGGCGGAGTCCGAGTTGCGAGAGCGTAAACCCTAAACCCTAAACAACGTAGAATAAGCCTTGCCGCGCTGAAAAGCGGAGGCTGCCGTCATCAACTTGACCAAAGTGATGGGCAAAGAGTATGCGAACTTGGGCAAGGCGGCACCATGAAGACTCAGAACAGGGGGGCTTTGGGGTTTAGGGTTTAGGGGGAGGGTATTCTACAACAGTCAAGTAGAGACTCCAAGATGGTCTCAGCCACAATTCTGCCTAGGGGCTGTTAAGAAGTTTGGGCTTCTTGGAGCTCCATCCTGTTCTTGCCCTCGCAGGACATCACGATTAACTGCATTGCGCCAGCTGTTGTGCAAACAGCGTGTCGGCCTCAAAGAAAAGCTGACCGCAAACCCTAAGCCCAAAACTCTGCACCCTGAATTCGGGTTGGTGCAGCGTGATTCAGCTTGAGCGAGGAAGGGGGATGAGGGAGGGGCGATTGGTACCCACCTGCAGTTTCGAGCTTAGGAGTGCCGCCTTGTGTTGAAGCTCTGCGTAGCCAATTGCAAGTCTGAGCTCAGGATGGTAGATGCGATGCCCCCGGAGCAAGTGAAGTGCTCCTCCAGAGTGATCGGATACCGGGCTCTGACCTCTGTCAGTCGGATTGCCAACCCGACAGCACGTGCAGGCATAGGCCTAGACATGTGGTGCTCACATGTATGTTCGTGTTTGCCTTCGCTTGATGCGTTTCTCGTTTGAATGCTTTTGCAGGCACAGAATTCCTTTCGACACTTGTTCCAGAAGCGGTGAAGCAATGAAGGGAATATCCACCAATACTGCTGCCCTAAACCCTAAACCCTAAACCCTAAACCCTAAACCCTAATCTTCAGGTACATGACTGACAAGATCCCCATGGCCCGAACAGGGAAGCTTGACGAGGCAAGCGGGGTGTGACGCCCAAGCTTTGCGTCCTACCAAACAGCCCCAACCCCAAGACATCTATGTGTGATGGTGGCGTCAGGTGGCTGCGACGATTCTTTTTGCAGCATCACAAGAATGCTCCTTTACCACCGGGTTTTGTCCGCGCCCTGAAATCCAGTCTTGCAGCTGTGAGACGGCATGCCGTGTTCTGAAAGCGAAAGAACAGGCCTGAGAAGTGCGGTTGGAGGTTGTGGGTCGGGGCCAACTAAGCTCATCATTGCCAAACGGCCTTCAGCTAACCTGATACAGGCAGATCTGTTCAAACCAGAACACGGCTGTTTGGGACACCTTGCTCTCTGATTCGGACGCGGTTCAGCTGGGTCTTGTGCGAAGAGTGTGCGAAGGCTTCGATGCCAGCGGCGGCCGCACCGTGTACTGACATCTCCCGCTTCGATCTTTTTAATTTGAGACGGGCGCTGTCGTGAGCCCCCGGCTAGCAGCCGCAACTACTCGAAAAGGGTCCGCTTGGCAGGAGTCAGGGATTGCCATTGCTACCAAGCAGAAAGCCTTCATGCACGCCTACCTTGGCTCGAACCAGGCATGCCCCTGTAAATGGAACCGCGTCCGTAGCCTCTTCTTTCGGGTTCGAGGTAGGGATGCACACAGATGAACACGGCAATTGAAGTATCGGGACAAAGCTAGTTGTAAGACGGTGTACACGTGGAGCTACGAATCTGTTTCTTGCTAGGTGTTCACTCACCAGCTGATCTGATGGATACTGTGCCTCGCCAGCTGGACACGAAGCTGGGTTCCAGTTTCGTTGGGGTGTCTGTCGCATTGCAGGCTCTTTTCCTATGCAGGGCCATCTATCTCTCCATCTCGCGGCGGGACTACTTGCTGGACGTGGCCCGAAGCATGCTGAAGACGTTTGTTTGTTCAGGCTGTGGAAGCAGGCCTGCAGACGTGAGTGCCACGGAAGACGAGCAGCTTGTGAACCAGCAGATTTGCGAACTACGCCTGCAGATGGCACGTCTTTACATGCGATACACGTGCGTGCTCCTTGGCTTCTTTCTGTTCTTCCAGCAGCTACGAGTGCTTCAGGATGCAGACCGATGGATTTCCAACAATGCAATGTGGTTTGTGGTTGCCTCGTTTGGTGCCAGTGGATTCGTCAACCTGTTCTCAGCGCTACTTACCGTGACTAACCTTGATGTCGTGTATATTGTGATTTCTTTGTGCTGCACGGTACAGTTGTCGCCATGGTACGTAGAGCTGGTGGATGCCACGCTCACGTCCATCTGCATTCTTGGCTTTGCCCGACTTCCTGCAATTGCCATTGCCAGTCGACCGATCCTGGTGGTTGCACTCAATGCAGCTCCCTTGGTATTGGTCTCCTGTCGAAGCATTTGGGAGGAAGTGCCTCCTTCATTTGTGAATGCTGAAATCAGTGGATTTCTCCTCACTTCCTTGGCTTCCCTGTCCTTGCAGGCAGGTCTCAAGCGTCGCACAGAGCATGACTTGCTCTACAACAAGATGGCCACAAGCCTCAAGGCCGCATCTTCGTTGCTGGGCTTGACCTGTGATGCCGTGGTTGAGTTGGACGGGGATCTCCGGGTAGTTCAGGACTCGGCAGCCCTTGCTGCGATTCTTCTCCGTGCAGGCTCCACACTTGCTGGTAGGGACTTCAGGGACTTCGTGCAGAAATCTGACGCCGACCAAGCCGTGGAGCTTCTGAAGCGCTTCGACGGCTCTCAACCTGATGTCAACACAGAAGCTTTCCACACGCGCCTGCAGGACAGTGATTGTAACAAGATTCCAACAGAAGTGTTCCAAGTTGTGTACCGCACAACCCGTGGTGAAGCTCGTCATTTGATCGGCCTTCGTGACGTTACAGATCAGGGATGTCTGGTTCGGGGGAAATCTGCAGACAGCTCTGATATTCAGCTCTCATACCCTATGATGCCCGTGGAAACTTTGACGCCCATGACGTCGCAGTCTGTGTCAACTGCGGCAGTGTCCTTCTCCGCTACTGGGCCGCAGGCTCTGCCAAGCTCACAGCGCGATGCCAGTGTCACCCGCGTCCCAAATAAGCTTTTATTCATGCAGATGGATATGGATCGGCGTGTCGTCAGCACATCATCTCGTGCTATCTGCATAGGCCGGACTCTTGTCGACCTGTTCTCAGCTCGAGGTGCAGAGGTTTTGCAAAGTGCCTGGGCGGAAGCGAGCGAGAGTGCGACATTGAGCATGGCCTTTAGAATCAAAGCTTTGTATCTACAACTGAGCATGTCCGCGAAGGAGTACGTCAGCGGCACACTGCAGGTAGTCCAGACAGCTAATGGTAGTCTGCAGCTGATGCTGCTATGCATGACACCTCCAAGCCTCGAAGTTCCGACGGGA